AGTCTTCAGTGGCAGCGCGAAGAAATCAAAGCAGGGGGAGGGGTATTTTCGAAAATGGGAGGAAATTAAAAACCTATAAGATGCTTTCAATTGAAAGAAGGTAAACTGCTAAAAATGTAAGTAATTAAAGGAGTTAGTTGATCAAGATTCCAGATTAATCGAATCAATGATGTTTTCAACCTGAAATTCAATTTATGGGTTTGGTTCAATATCAAAACAAAGTTTCCATCTGATTTGTTTTTTGACGGTTAACAACTGTGACTGTTAAGAAATATTCTTCGATTTCTATCATATCCTCAACAAAACAAAATACAGGGTGGAGTTAGAGGACGTTGATGCTTTTGATAGACTGTTTCTCTTAAGTTTGATTCTGCCAGAAAGTTTCGTTCGGATGCTAGAAGATTAGGTTGATGTTCCCCTTCGACTGATGAAAATTGTAAACCGTTCATTGCCGTTCTACACGAGAAATCCATTCCGACATTTCCTATCATTTTTAAGCGAAATAGAGATTAGAATATGCGCTAAGCTTTAAGAAGCTAAGATATTCTGCTTATTGTGATCCAAAAAGACATATTTCTTTTCATTTATAACATTTTTCGTTGGCTAAGCAGCTGAATGAAGAGAACCACAAATAATTTGCCGATCGGCTCTAAATCATTCTATTACTACTCATGACATGCTCCTTTATTCCTCCTATCCAAAAAAAGATTTCAAATTGATTTCAAGTTAATTGTCACTATCTATGTCTTGTTTTACATATTCAATAACAATGCCAAATAAATATTTGAATTTAACATGCTGCATATTTACATTGGATTTTTGGTAATGGTCAAAATTTTTTAGTCGAATGTAGTTTATACGTTTTTTTGAATTGCGAAATGTTTCTCTTTTTCTCTGAATTAAAAGATAGCTTCTAAGTAGTGTCCATATGTGTTGTTGTCTATTAACGTATCTTTCGATTTCATCCATAAATCAGTCATGCAACTCATCTAGTATTGTGTTTCATATTTCATCAAGTACAGCTTCATATTGATACAACTTGTTCAAAGTCAGTTTCCATGTTAATGATTCATTCCATTTTCTTTTCAATGTTGATTCATCTACTTTCTAAAACGGTTCAGCACAGTATATCACTCTGTATTACGTCTTCGACTAATGCAATAGGATTTCGTTCATATAATTGTATTTTTTTTTCATTAATTCAGCATATTTCTGTTCTAGCTTCGCCGTCAACTCACATGTTTCAGATAATATGCTTTCTTGTATTGCAACTTGTACGGTATTTCTGTTCAGTATATCATCTAAAATCGGTTTATAGTTTAGTTCATCGAATGTATGACCATGGCTTTTCGTTGATACTTTTCCAATACTGTTCTTAGTGAACAATTCTTTATATATTTTAATATTTTTCCACAAAGTGATGCCGAATTTTCATCTCTATAGTGGAAATTTCCAAGAATTTCATTGAAAAAAAAATAAAAATCCCTGTTCCGTCTAAAGAATGAAATCAGCCTACTGCAGCACCTGAAGGAGCAGCACTGAGATTGTTTGGAACAAGAAAGAGCGACATCGCATAAGAGACATGTACAATAATTGTTGAACGTATTCAAGTTCTAGAGTGAAGGGTGTTCTCTACAAGGACTAATAAGGTTACTTGTTGTAATAAACTTTTCTCGTATTTTCTTTTCTATTCTCTGTTCAAGTAGAGATAGACATTCTAATAATGATGAACAAAATATAGAAAAGTAATTCTTAGCAATTTTGTATACATGATAACGAAGATGTGTTTTAAATAATGCGTGAGCACTAAGAATAAACACGATCAGCCAATAGTTTTGATCGATCACCTTACGATTTCCAAAGTTATATTCTTCTTTTGCTATAGCATTGGCAAATCGAACAGCCATATCTTGAATATCGCATAGGCTATAAATAAATTTATATACGCCTCGCTCATAGCCAAATCGGAAATTCCAAAAGAAACTCGAATAAACTTCTTCGAGAGTTGGATCTCTTGGAGGTCCAATGACAAGAAAATCCAAAAGAGCAATAATAGCCAAAATATTATAAGTTTTAGGTAGTTGAGTAAATATTTATCGTACCGCATTAAATGAAATTGAATCAAGAGCAAACAGAAAATCTCGGTAGTTGATGCGAGAATCGAGTAAATACTATTCTTGATTGACTCTGGTTGAATCAAGACTAGGTCCAACAGAGACCAATTCAGTTAAATAAGGAACTTTTCTAATTTGATATTCATTCAATGTTAAAACTTGACCTGAACCAAAAAAAATGTTTTAGTTGTTGTCGAGGACTCACTAGTATGATCATTCATTGGGCAACTATTTTCAAAAATCGAAAGCCATATTTGATTAATATTATAATCGTAAATATTTCAAGTTGATAAAATGAATTCATTAAAAAGAAGAAACAAATGCACTGTCAAATGAATTTCACTTGAAAATAACAGTGTAACATAATGTTTTTCGAATGTGTTCAAAATAAAAAGAAATTTTCTGTCATTTGAATATAACTGCGCAACAAAATATTGTGTTCATTTCTTTCCTTTTGAGGGAAAAATTAGAAATATCCAAATAAAATCGACTTTTCTCTTTTTCTCAACCTTTTCAGTTCTTATAACTTTGACTTTCAACTTCTGTAATTATAAGTTGCTATTGCTCAGAGTTGTATGGATACAATCCTTGAACATACAGCAGTATAGTAGTTAATCAAAAAGGAATAACTCTTTCAATTAGAGGGATACTGTTATGTGTCTATATTCTCACGATCAGAAGAAAAAATTTTGTATTTTTTATTGTATTGCTTTTGGTTTTTTTTATAATAATTCGAAAAGTGACTCACCCTTGTATTATGGGAGCTTGTATCGTTACATACGATGGAGACGAACAGAAAAGTGAAAAAAACAGAAGACAAATTTTCACTCGGCGCCATTTTATGAATCAAAAAGAGTCACATTTACATGAAAGTCTGTTTTTTCTGTTGCGAGCTTATACTCCATGCCGTTGGCTTGAATCTGATTCTAAGCCCTTTCAAGTCAAAATGCAATTTGTATAAGAAACTGTTTACTTTGTTTTTATGTTCGCAAAACTTAAAGGGTCAGGGTGTGGGTGTGGTTGTAGAGATGGAGGTGAATTTCAGAGTTGGTGAGAGTGTTCAGGTAGTAGATCTCTGGCTACACTCCCACTCTCACACACCCATACCCATACCCACACCACCTTACTTGTATATAACATATTGATGAATATGTCCTTCGTGTCATCTGAAAAAAAAGTCTAATATTCTGTTCTTTATTACCTCAGAAGATGAAAGTATGACCTAGTCTTTTTCTCTATAAACCTGATTAATGTCATGAGTCATATATTAATATTGTTTTTACATATTCATGCTGAAATAATTGTATCGTTTTCTTTCTCTTGACAAGTATACGAATTGTTATGGTTTGTTCAACATTAGTTTCGATAATATTATATCGAATTGAATATTAATGATTAAAGATTGAATTTCAAAATAATCAAATGAGAATTTCTTCTAAGCTTTACAAAGATTCAATTTATACAATAAAAATTCATAGAATGTCAATAAAAAACCACATATCTTTTATTAGGAAACACTCATACATATAACGGTAAGATTAGTGACAAGAATCTTCACAGGTAAAATTTAGAATAAGTTGACTAAAAATAAAAGTTTTTCAAGTATGGTTCTGTTTTTTCAGTCAATAATAAAGATTTTTTGTCAAATAATTAATGATGGCAAATTAGACAGAAAAGATTTCAAGCTATTTGGCAGTTATGAAATATTTTTCATGATAAATCTGTTCACAAAAACGTACTTGTTTCTCTTCATTAACAATGTCAAATTTTGTTAACAACTAGTTTATCCCGTTCAACGATTTCGTCAAACTGAAATTTCTATTAACTATTAACTAAATTGAAATATGATGTAGTATTAATTTTCCAAGAAAGATAAATGTATTCAATATTCAAATATGCTAATTTACAACTTCGATCAAAAATATCTCAGAGAATAAATGATCTGTTCCAATATGGCTTCAATTCCTTTTGTTACTTCATCAACATCTGCGCAACAATCTTTTTTCTTGGAAGATTAAGTCGACTTGTCAGTTGACATCAAACCGAAAAGATTAGTGTTGCTCACTAACATGTTTTATGCTTTATTATGCTTTGTTCTGCAAGAGAAAATTCAAATGTAATTCGTCATCTGATGTTATTCTCATTGAATGGGTCAAATTCTATTCTCAAGACATTCATTAACACTATTCGACAAACTAAAATATTAATTGTGAATAGTTGCCTGAGCTATTGAAGCTGAATAAGGAGCAAAGACCGTTGAAGCAAGAGAACGTAGAAATGTGCATACATATACTTTAATATAGAAAACAGAAAGATAGAACATATCTGAAGTTTACTGAGGCAAGACAGTTAAAAAGAAGCATGTGATTTTTCTATTCGTTTCTCTTCTAATTGTATAACTAATGTTTTGTTTCGCATGATTGATTTTTTTTTCTTTTATCGTTGTTGATGTTTTACATATAAGCATGTATAGAGTATGTGAGCAATAAGATATGTAAGATGAAAAATAGGGCTCAAAAGCCAATCGTTTGTTTATATTTAAATAAATGTCTTCCCGGTTTTTGTAGAAGATTCGTTTTTGTTTTTGTGACGTTTCGGCAGACGATGGTGTCTTCTTCAAACTTTATTGGTGAAAAATAAAACGTACTAGACTACATATACGTCTTATTTTTTTTTCTTTTTCTTTTCGGTTCTTATTAAAATTTGATAGTAGATCGAAACAAGATAACAAGAGAAAGTCACTTCTATTAGTTATCATTGTCTTACCGACCTATTATCAAATTGTAATAAGAACAGATAAGAAAAAGAAAAAGAAAATTCTAGAAGAACAAAAAAGAGATTTATTCAAATAACTGTCTTTTTTATTTTTATTTATTATTATTGAAAATGATTGGTACTGTTTTGGTGACTGGTGCTGCTCGAGGAATAGGACGTGTAATTGCTCTTCGTCTTGCTAAAGATGGTCTCAATGTCGCTATTAATGATATAGAAGCTAGCTCTTCTGATCTTCAAAAAGTTCAACAAGAAATCGAAAAAATTGGTCGAAAATCGATCGCTATAACTGCTGATGTTTCTGAGGGTAAATCAGTTGAAAAAATGATGCAAGAGACTGCACAAAAATTAGGAAGTCTAGACGTATGTAATTTTCACTCTTTTAGATTGCTTTATCTTTCTTTTTTGCGATCAATTCTACAGGTAATGGTCGCAAATGCAGGAATTGGTGATGTAAAATTGCTCGTAGATACGACTGTAGAAGATTGGGATAAAATTTTTGCAGTAAACATGCGTGGTGTATTTCTTTGTTACAAAGAAGCAGCTAAAATAATGATTAAACAAGGTAAAGGAGGAAAAATCATTGGTGCTTGTAGTACTGCTGGATATAAATCACGTTCAATGATTGGTCCTTATTCAGCTTCAAAATGGGGTGTACGAGGTTTAACACAAGCTGCTGCTATGGAATGGGCTCCATATAATATCACAGTCAATGCTTATTGTCCAGGTATATTTTAGAGTTTTTTTTTTTTAATATTAAATCACTGAAATTTTACCAGGACTCATTAAGACACCGTTGTCTGACAGAGGTAATGAAGAATTAGGAAGATTTCGAGGAAAGACAAAGGAAGATGTCGTGAACAGTTTTTTAAAAACTGTTCCACTTGGTCGCATAGGATATCCAAATGATGTCGCAAACTTGGTTTCATTTCTTGCAAGCAAAAATTCTGACTACATTACCGGACAAAGTATTTTAGTCAATGGTGGGACGGATTTTTCTTAAATTTTAATTTATATCTATTTTAAAATAAGATTTATCTTAGACTATATATATAAAATATTTGTTTTTTGTCATTTAAAAACCATCGAATAAAAGATAATAATATCTTTTTTTGATTTTATTAAAATTTGCTAATTAATTTTAACTGAACTTTTACAAATTCCATCGATGATGTAAATGAATTATACGCTGGCTTGTGAACGGTCATCTGAAGCAAAGGAGGAAAGAGGAGGATTTTCAAGAAAAAATTTTGAAGGATAGACTTTGAAAAAGGAGGATGTAGTTTTTCGACGTAAAAAGCTACTGTAGCAGTTCCAACTGTTAGTATATCTGAAGACGATGAAGAAAGACACGCATCACAACGTTACTTGAGTATGGTTTCATTGTCTGATAGATAAAACAGGAGAATAATATGCATTGAAAAATCAGGCGATCTATTAAGACAACTATGTAGAAAAGAACAAAATTGGTTGAAGTAAACTATCTATTCACTTGTCAGCGTGTGTCCATTTCAATAGACATCTCTACAAACAATCAAATTTAGTTTTGTGGTTTCGAAACTGTGAAGGTGAGGGTGAGTAGCATACCATGGCCAATTTTGTCCTTACCTAACGGACTCATCAGATAGCTTAGTATAAGATGAATGATTCAAAGAAGAATCAAATCAATATTATACAACTATACATCCTACTTGATTTTTCAAGTTTTTTCAAAAGAGCAACTATTGTCTATTTCAGAATTAGATGGTCGTGGTCATTTTTTGAATAACTTTTGATTGGCTAAGGCTATCGATCTCGGAGTTGCATACTTGGCAAGAGCGGACTATGGAGCGTCTTTCTGTACAATTTATTTGAGTCTACACACACCTTTTTACGACTGTTTATACTTCGATATGTTGTTTTTGTGTTTTTTCAACGAATTTTTTCGCCATTCTAACTCCCATTATGCCAAATTGTAGTCAGAATTCCGCTGCATATACGGTAAAATTTTGACACCTTCATATCGTCTTTTTCATCTCTTTTCTGCAGCACAGTTACTTTGATGTATGCTAATTTTACCGTATATGCAGCGGAATTCTGGCTACAATTTGGCATAATGGGAGTTAGAATGGCGAAAAAATTCGTTGAAAAAACACAAAAACAACATGTCGAAGTATAAGCAGTCGTAAAAAAGTGTGTGTAGACTCAAATGAATCGTACAGAAAGACGCTTCATAGTCCGATCTTGCCGACCACGCAACCGCGAGATCGATAGCCTGAGCCGATCAAAAATTATTCAAAAAATGACCACGGCCATTTAATTCTGAAATGGACAGTAGATTGTCGATTTATTGTATCACCGTGTCCGGAAAATGCGCGCAACTCATGCATTATGAAACAATCCGATAACAATTACTGCATTTATTGAATGTAATGACCTTCGCTAGCAAACAAACATTGTCAACGATCGCGCAAACTATTTATTCCATTAAAAAAGAACTCAAAATCAACTTTACCTACGTAGTCCTCAACAGTAGGTAACATTTTGTCATCAGAGGCGAAACTTTTGCCGCGGAAAAATTTCTTCAAACTTGCGGACAAGTGGTAGTCAGTAGATGCAATATCCGAACTATAGACAGGATAATTTAGTTTGACAGAGGTTGTCTGGCAAATAATAGTCTGCACAACATTGCTCTTGCGGATTGGCGCCTTCTCGTGAACAGATAGCCGTTCATAGTTTGGTTTTGACGACGAAATGATAAAACGACTGTTGAGTTCGTAGTTAATGCTAATTTAGTTGTTTTTTAATAGAATAAATAGTTTGCATAGTCGTTGACAACGTGTGATTGTTAACGAAGATCAATGCATTCAATAAATGCAGCATTTGTTCTCCTATTTTTTCGTAATATATGAGTTGCACGAACTTTCCGGGCATCCTGATATATCTGATACTGATGAATAAGATGTTATTGTCTAGTTAAAAATTCCATTTGATAAACAAAATGATGTTTATTAATTTAGAACTTGTTTGAAAAATAATATTAATTTAGATCGAAACAAAATAACAATGGACCGTGACAGAATCACGTTTGTTTTTTACTTTCTCTCTTCAATAACTCAACACATTGAAATCAGATAAAGGCTGATGCTATTAGAAAATATATGCTTGACAAAAGAAATAGCTGCAGTTGGTATTTTGAGTATATCATCACTATGAATACATATATTTTTAGAAGAATAATACAATATTCTAACGCGTCTAGAGATTCCTATCATCCTATATATTAATGTTTCAGTTTTCACATATCTACTAGAAAATAGATCAACTGCAATGTAGATATCCTCATCACTACATTGCCGCGGACCAAATGTTGTGACTATCATCATTATTAGATTTTGAAATTTTTTATCATTACACAAATATCTTCATAAAAAACTAATTATATCTGATAATGCTTGAAATTCTCTATTTTTATATATTTGTTTATGCTGGTAGAGTAAGAACAAAGGAAAAAGGAACGAAAGAAATAATTCGCAGGAACGAGGACGCAGAAAAAAGAAGAGAAAACAGATGGATATATTATATTGGATCCTTTTTTCTTATTAATTCATTTCGACAATAATTAGCCATTTTAAAAGATACGATTCAATGTGTTTTTATTCGACTTTCTGCCAGAAAAATGGTGAGTACTATTTAAAAACTGCGTTTCTACCAGAAGGGTGTGGGTGTGAGGTGTGTGTGGGGTGCGGGTATGGGTGTGGGTGTGAGGTGTGGGTGTGGGTGGGTGTGGGTGGGTGTGGGGTGTTGGATGCGGGTGTGGGTGTGAGGTGTGGGTGTGGGTGTGGGTGTGGGTGTGGGTGTGGATGGTGTAGTTGTGGGTGGCCGGTGGGCGGTGGTATGGCTGCGAGTGTGGGGTTGTGTGAGAGTGTGAGTATGGTGTGCATTCAATTTTAATGGCGCAGTAACTTGCATACCCACGCTCACAACCACACTCACACCTCTCCACACCGACACCCACACCCACACCCACACCCACACCCACACGCATACCCACACCCCCACCCCCACCCCCACCCACACACCCACACCCACACCCATACCCGCAGACCCACACCCACACCCACACACCCACACCCACACCCTTACCCACACCGACACCCGCACCCTCACCCACACCCTCGGACCCACAGACTTACACCCTCACCCACCCCCTTGATAATTGTGATATCGATATTCCATCAATCCGATCGTGGGTAAATCAATCAAAAGTATTCACTTTTCAAGCTGTCTTCTTCGGATTAAGAATAGCTTTAATTCACTGTTTAACAATGTGAAGTATAAAATTATGCTTTTGCTCATATCTATATGTAATAAATAGCTAAATATAGAGAAGAGACTTGACATCGGTGGCATTACATTCTGAAACCTGTAATTGAGTGAGTTGATGTAGCAAATGTGAAACAGAAACTCACGCTGAAGACCCATATCCAAACCCAAACCCAAACTCGAATACCCAAACCCTAACTCGAATACCCATACTCAAACTCAATACCCAAGCCGAAACTCAAACTCGAATACCCATATCCAAACCGAAACCCAAACTCAAACCCAAACCCAAACCCAAACTCGAGTATGCATACCCAAACTCTAATAGGCATATCCAAACCCAAATCAAACTCAAACCCAAACTCGAATACCCATACCCAAACTCAAATCCAAACTCGAACTCAAACTCAGTACCCAAACCTAAACTCAAACTCAGTACCCAAACCTAAACTCAAACTCAGTACCCAAACCTAAACTCAAACTCAGTACCCAAACCTAAACTCAAACTCGGATACCCATACCCAAACCTAAATTCAATATCCATACCCAAACTTGAATACCTATAGCCAAACTCAATACCCAAACTCACCAAACCCAAACCGTTTGGGTTTGGTGCATGCCTAAGCATCAGAGTTTAAAGCACATCTTTCAACATCTATATATTGAACATGTTATCGGTTTTTGTCATACGTGAAGTCATCGTAACATCAAAAATCGATCAGAACGATTGACATTGCTGTGGATTTAATTATTTCATCATTTAAATCTCTGCCTCACTATCTTAGAAAGGTCGTCTTTAGTCAGAATAATCGAAATAGAAATAAATGCAAACGAAGATATCCTCTAATATGTGCTTCCATCAATGACCAAAAGTTTTACTCGACATTCTGCTTTTGTACAATAATTTTGCAAAATTTCGGGGATTGCCTTGGCGAAAAGTAATCTGTTTTAAAAAACACAAAAAATATTTTGTCTTTTTCAGCTTGTGGTTCTTAGATTGCTCAATCGAAATTTGAGGGTGTGGGTGTGAGTGTGTGGGTGTGGGTGTGTGGGTGTGAATCTGGGTGTGGGTGTGGGTGTGGATATGCCTTAAGAAACACTTCACACCCACACCCACATCCACCCACACGCACACCCACACACACCCACACCCACACCCACACCCACATCCACACCCACACACCCACACCCTCACCCACACCCACACCCACACCCACACCCACACTCTTTCTGACGTAATTCGGTCCGGAATCCGCTAGTTAGGAATCCTGTGAAATACGGTTGGGTTCCGATTGGATTTAGTTGGGAACCCGACGAATTCTGGTGTGATCCGACGTCGAATCCGATAGTTTTCGGTAGGATCTACAGGTCGGATTGAATCACCTGGGTAATGGTAATAATGCAAAGGTAAAATATCGATGCAAGAATCTGGTCACCCAAAACTCAATTACATAAGAAGAAATGTCACAGAAATCTTGATATAACACAATGATAATCTGTTCTAAGATGAATTCTGTTTGCATTTTTCAATGTTTGTCTTGAGTTGTATCACTAATGTTTTATTATCGGTTTTTTCTGCGACAGTTAAAGCTTCCCGATAAGCAGTTATGGCTTGTTGATATTCGCCTTTTCCTAAATAGGCTTGTCCCAATCGGTTAAGAGTGTTTGCAAGATCACTGCTACCTCTTTTACGTCGAATAGCTGCACATGCCGTCAAATTTTCGATAGCTTCTTGCCATTGTCCTTGATTGAGATAGATTGAGCCTACTGATGCGTAGGCACTTCCGAGAGTTCCATGTGTGGGAGGCACTGACGTTTTGTAAATTGAAAGAGCTTGCTTATGTATATCCAATGCTCGAGAGTAATATTCAAGAGCTTTGTCACGCATATTTTTCTTTTGAAAATGTTCACTGAGAGCTTCATAATATGATCCCAATGATGTATAGGACATGGCAGTGTAAGGATGACAAGCGATTAAACAACGTTGTCGAATAGCTAATGCTTCGTTGAGACAAGTTAAAGCTCGATCAAAATCTCCAGTGTAAGCAGCAGCAAGACCAATACAATTATATGACATAGCAGTATCACCATTGTTGTGACCTAAAATTCTCTCTCGAATATTTAATGCTCGTTGATGAAAATCGAGTGCCTTCTGTATATCATTCATATTCATAAGCAACCATCCATAATCACTGTAGGTCGTTGCCAAATCTTCTTCATGAGTAGATTCTTGTTTTAATCTTATTTTAAGGGCAATTTCATAATGTTTTAATGCTTCTTGATAACGACGAGAATCACGATATGCATAGGCAAAATCATTATGAATTGTTGCTAGATCAGTATCATTGAGCTGTAATTGATCGGGCACTAGTGATAACACTTGACGGTAATAAGCAATCGAACTGTCAAAGTTTGACATAAGAGCAAGAAATTTTCCATATGTGGAATAGTTCATTTTCTTTGTACAGGCTATTTCTTCTTTGGCATAGTCATACAATGCCTTATGCTAGAATGAAAAATATTGAGAATGAAATAAATATGAGTTTGAACGTCGATTGATACTCACCTGAGGATCAGTATTGCCCATACACATGGTCAATTCGAAATAAAAAGAATCTGATGAATGTTGTTCGATTTTATCAATTCGAAATATAGTACCCATACTCAAGAGAATTTCTTCTTCTTTCGAAAAAGAACTAAATTTTCGAATATCAGCAAATGGTTTATTCGTTTGTCGAGCTATATTAGCACTAATGGTCATCTTGAACAGAACTGCAACAGTTTTTTCTTGTTCTTCTTTTTTTGGTGCTGCAAGAAATCCTTGTGTTACTTGTTTGCTGACAGATGTTGAAATAAAACTATTCATTGATATCAGACCATGATGATTGTGACGTAAATTTTCAACCTCACGAATCGTCATACGTTGACCACGATATACTGTTAATACATGATTCATAGGAATAGAAGATTGAAATAATTCAGTTAGTTGTCGATGTAAATCAACAATAAAAAATCGAAATTTATAAATATTATCAACATTTTCTGTTCGTAATGCTTTATTGAGAAGTCTATAGAGATGTGTATCACGAGTATACCAATAGAGTGCTTTTGTCGGATCATAATTATGACGAAAATCGTTTATAATATTTGTCTCTTCGTCTCCAGTACGACATGCTTGATGCCATTCTTCAAGCATTTCGTCACGTGCTGTCGGCAATTGTGGCATTTGAACAAGAATTTCAGTTAACATTTGAAACCATACAAAAGCAACTTTCTCTTCGGTCAAAACACGTGTCGATCGATTCGGTTCAACTCCACCAAACGTACTGATACCTGAAACATTCTCTTGTTCAGTAGATACAATACGATTCGAAACGGCAATTGGTGAAAGCTCCTAGAATTAAACGAAAGAACTCTCTCTCTTTAACTGAACAATCTCTTGTCAGAAGTGTTTTTTTTCCCGAATTAGAGACATCTGTGAGGAAATTTTCACTTATTATATTGACTATTACAATTGTTTCTCATTTTGGAAAATGTCGCTTCATTGTATTTAAAAGAAATTGATACATTGTGTCCAATATTCATTTAAACTTCATTTCTATTCACATACAGAGTGGAACAAAAGTCATCGGGCAGTCTTTAATTTCGAATAACTTTTAATACGATCAAGATAAAAAGCTGCGACTTTCACTATTCCAAAGAGGCTCTGTTACTACGTAGTTCTGTGTACTATTCAACAGTGCTGCTTGTTGCCATGGTAATCAGTTACTGATCTTCGGTAAAATACTGGTAGCTCTATGAAGATTATATCGAAGCTCAATTATAAAGGGTTAGGTTAGAATCGTGCACCTATGACTCACGCTCGTCATTGTCATTATGTTGTGTTGCATTTAAAACTTTCTATTGGAAAAAGATAGTAGGTTCGGTTTGTTCGTGTTAGCGTAAATCGTGAGTACCAAAATTGAACTTCTATATCCTTTTCATAGAGTTATCAAAATCTTGCTAGGAATCATTAACTGACTAGCGAGACCCCGTGCATACTGCACGGATGCTTTTTTCCTGTAAAGTTTCACATCTGTCTTTTAGCCTTGATTCGGTAATAGACAATCAAACAGTTCGCATTATATATATAGAGACCCTATAGCCTTAAACCCTCGTAGCTTTACCCCTTGTAGCCTTATACTTCTGTGGTATTACTTCTTATAGCCTTATTCCATTATTCCCTTATCCCTTAGATCCTATGCAGCCTCATCTACAGGGTGTCCCAGAAATTCGTATGGAAAAAAAATTTGAATATTTCCTTTTGCCGCTTGAGCAAATGAGCTGATTTTTTTATCAATGATAGAGGCATGTTCAAAGTTTATATCCATAAAGACATG